ATCGTGACATGTATCAAATCGGAACACTCATGCCATACGCACCTCTACATTAGAGACCTGCAGGATTTACAGAAGGACTAGGCTATTTGTACCATCTGACATGAAACCCAATCATGAACAATTTAATGTGAATTTAATCAGAATAGTCTTTAAAGAAATTCTTCCACATACAACTATAAGGTCGATTAAGGTTTTCTAAGTGTATCTAGAGGAATGACTGTTTCATGATATACAAGCAAATGGTTAAAAAAGGTAGAACTAAATCAGTTAAATAAAACAAGAGGTTCTTACAGGTTGTTGTTCGTGCCGTTGTTCTGCAGAGAGTTTCCGATGTAGATCTTAGCACCTGTTATGTTAGTCTCACCGCCATTCTGATCAATATTATAGATAGAGATGCAAGAAATGTTGTAAACCCCCTGAAGGTCGATTCTCCACCAGGGGTTGCTCTGTTTGTCACTGTGAGAACATGTGGAGGGATCCCCATCAAAGGCCCGGTCAGCAGTGTATGTACTGTTATTAAGAATGAAGGTTGAAGACTGTGATGCTTTCTCCTTCATCAGATTAATTATTGGTCCACCACAAACAGCTTTAAAAAAATAGAAAATTATGAATTATTCAACTTTATATGGTCTTTTTTTTACAAAACACTACTGTAGTTATAATTTATTTAAATTGTGTGCAGTACATGTATGTAACTTAAAGGCTATAAGGCAGAAAGCACATTTATCTTTGCATTCATTTTCTGAAGTACGCTCAGCCCTCATGAGAAATGATCTGTTCTTTCAAAACTTTCAGAGTCTCTGTCAGCTATAATACAGGTGTAACTCATAATAATAAATAATAAACATTTTGTTCTGCATACAATAGCAGGTAACATCAATGAAGCTGGACAAATAAAATTGCATTTTCTGAATTGATAATAGATTTTATAGTTACAGTAAGTGTTTTAAAATATCAAATCATTAGACATAAAAGGATATAAGTAAAAACAAAAAATAAATGAATCGCAGATTTAGTATATTTGGAGTATGAACTAAATATATTTACTCAAATAACTATTTTAAATCTTACTTACAGGTGACTGAAAACTCTTCAGAGTATAAAGCTGTACCTCCTCCACTCTGATTCAGGGGTGGAGCTAGATGGGGGCCCAGAGGTGGACATGGCCACCCTCAGCCACTCATTGGCCCCCTGTACCATTTTTTTCACCCTCTAATACAGACGGTGGCAGCAGTAATACTATCAAGAGGAATGTTTAAACTTGTCTCGAGGCAAGACATAAAAATACGACGAAATACGACGAAAAAAACGTCAAAAACGTACAAAATTACAGTGCATAACTTTTCGTACGATTTCATACAAACTCATAATGAGAATACACTGACCACCTAGCTTCAAGATCTCTCTAAAGCCAGCTCTAATTCCTTGTCTCCGTCTTTTCCCTCCTAGTTTCAAACCAAGCCAACTGAACATCCAAGCCTGGACCTTCCTCATCTGTTGGATCTCTCAGGTCAGTCTGCTGCAGCCCTCCTATATATATATATACAAAATTCATGCTCTTTTGAGACCCTAATTTTGTGTTTTATGGGGTAAAGAGAAAATTATGTCTCTGCAAAAATATTAATTAATTAATAATAAGTTAAAAATCAATTTAATGTAGATATTAGTACATGTCATATTAATGTTATGCAGAACAAATTTTGATAACAGTTGGAAAGTAATGACAATGGAAAATATGTTTTCCCCAGACATTTTGTCCACTATACCTTTTATTTAGACAGCATGGATGTTTAAATATATGTATCTATTTTTAATCAAAAGGCTGTAGAAAGGTATAGTTTGTCTTTATTTAGAAAATATGGATGTGCTTGTCCCTGTTGGAACAGATGGAACCTGAGGTTCTGTGGCCTATTCGCTTTTGGCCACCCCTCAGTTTACATTGGTTATTTAATTGCCACCCCTATTAAAATTTTCTGGCTACACCTCTGCTCTTATTCACATGACAGATTATGAGCAAAGTAAGGTTAAATTTAGTTACAGTAGCAGGATAATTCTCCATTCTGGTGCCTTATTTTAAATAAATATTACTTCTTTACTAGTGGAAGCTTTTTAGCAAACATCTATAATAGGCTCATCCATAGTACAGTCTTGTTTTTTTGTATATTATTTGAATAGAAATGTTCATGGTATAGGGTACATTTGTGTGGGACAAAGATGTGCTGTAAAATCATCAAAAGATAAAGATGTAAAAGTAAACAAAAACACAGCATGTAAAACAAAAATTAGAAGAACACTACTAAATATTTAAATTATTTAACAACTTAATATTTTCCTGGCAGGTAATCTGACATAAAATATAAAATGATTTATAAAAACCAAATACATATCTTTCTTCACTCAAATGTTGTTGGAGGTTTCTAATGACAACTTTAATTCAAAGCATTGCCTGCATTGCCTTTCAGATGTTAGTCTGCCAAGAACCCAGCCTGTTTTTTTGTTGATGTGGCCATTCCAGGAGGGCCCTGGACTCTGCAGTGTAACACAAAGTCTTCTTCCCAGCTCTTGTTTTGCAGAGTTAGTGGAAAAGATTAATCTTAAGAAGATTTGTAGGGGAAAAACACTGTTAAATTGTCTGGCTGATTGTGGGTTCAGACCAAGCAATGTCTCCACGCTAATTTCTGCGAAGCCCCCTGGCCCGGGAGTTCACCGCTCTGCATCGCAGATGCACAGGGTTTACACCAAATGAAATGTGAGGAGCGTCAGCTGCGTGAAGCTGACACCCCTCTGAAGTGAAAAAAAACAAAAAAAACAAATAGTCTTCATTTGTGCATGTTTGTGCATTTAAAATCGTCTTTTGTAAAAATTCAAAATAAAAAAATAAAAAATCATGTATGCTATTATTGTTACATGGCTATTAGTGGTTATTTTTTAGGTCATCCAGAAGTCAACTATCCTCCCATTGAGCTCTGAATTTAATCAAAATTATCTAGCCTATCTTTTCATTACTACTAGATTTGTGCATGTAAAACTGTCATTTGTGCTGATGTAGTTTTTAAGATTTTTAATTTTCAATTATGGCCGATGACGTGATCATTGCATCCAACATTAGTGCTGCACTTGTTACCAGATATTAAGTTATAGCATAACATCATATTTCATTCGTTTGCTGGCATTCAATATAACAGTATTTATGTTTACCATATTTAGTGGCTGGAATCATTGTTTGATATTTAGTAAATCACCAACCTCCCAGACACTTCTGGCAAGGTCTCGCTGCCCTCATTTCACAATAAAAGCACAGTTGAATCTTAACATTACGGACTGCTGCTAATTTGTCTATTAACAACTTTTGAATCGCCTTGGAACCCTTGACTTTTGGGAAACCCTAGAAGCAATGAAAAAAAAGATTCCACTTTGGTTCATCCAGACGCAGCTCTGATTTGGTCAGATTCAACGGAACTTCCTTGTACATCCACCTAATACAGAAAGCACCGATGATGTGCAGTGGGCAGTGACAGACTGGAGTATAGTCCCTGCTGTATGTGGTTACAGTAGCTTGTATAAGCTATGAGAACAGAACATTTTAAACAGGACGTGCACCAGGAGAAATGGTCTTGTACATGCTACACGCAAATTTAAAAAACACTCCGCAGTCCTCACTCACTGTGGAGGGCCTTATAGCTACTCACACGTACATAACTGGTTT